CCCCCCGCCGAGCAGGGAGCCCGATGCGGGACTCGATCCCGGGACTCCAGGATCATGACCTGAGCCGAAGGCAGACGTAGAAGCAAATTCTTACCTATGAACCAGAGTATTCTTGAGGCCACCAACCAGGCCTCGGGCGATGGTTTTCACTCTGGGGGTGAGAATCGCTTGAGAGACGTGGAAGGAGCCGCGCGGGGCCCGCTCACTCAGAGTGGTCTCCAAGAAGAGGACGAGTTTGCTCACACTTGTGGTGTTCGCCCAGGGTGCTGGGATCTTCTTTCCGGGCCACAGGAAGGGGTATTGCTTGTAGAAGGGACAGTGATAGAAAATAAGAACCTGAAACATTCAAAACAGAAAAAGGAGAACAATTGATGAATTAGCTGAATGTTAATTCCTTGGCTTTGCCCTGATTGCTAGGATTAAAGGCAAACAAGTATAAGCATGTAGAAATTCAAGAATTTTATGTATATGTATATTTAGAGAAATCAATAAGCAAAGATTTAAGCACTTGTGTATGTCTGAACATGAAAATTCTTTATTTTTATTGCGAACACCTCTGGAAGTATGGTAAAATCCTGAACCCCTTCTCAGACTGCATTTTAAATGAATGTATAAAATAAAACAGACAGGATTACAAAGGAAATCAACAAGACCAAAATATAGCTATCAATATATTATTAAATTTGTAATAAATTAGTGTACATGCTTCATAATAAATACATTAAATAAAAGTACTTTGTTGTAAGTCTAATAAATTCCATCATTTTGAGTTAATGATGAGTATTAATGGTATTTCAAATAACTGGAATGTGATACGGAAATACCTGTGATTTCTATGGTGACAAAGTCACAGGTAGGGCCGATACTGTGGGTATATGAATTTTCAGTTACAGGTGAGAGGGAATAAATATGTAGATTTTTCCCATCCAAATTCACAGACTGCTTCAATCCTACCCATGCCCCTCCCCCTGGGGCTCTGAGCCCCGGATGGAGAGCCTTGTGGCTCGCGCCGTCTGCAAGGTATGACTCCCATGCTCGGGAGACTGACGCTCCTGGGGTTGAGACCAACACCTTGCACTAATCTGGGAGTACCCTGAGTTTCAATCACGCGAGCCAAGCCACTGAACGAATAACCCTTTCTAGGAGGGGGTGGGAGGGCGCTACTCCAGGCAGGGCAGACTTCCAGAAGGCGATGGGTCTCCAGTGGGACCTCTGGGGGCTGGTGGTGATTTTGAAAATAATTAGCAAGCCATAGCCACAGCATTAATTAGTTTCTGACAGGCAGCCGAGGGACGAGGAGTTGCTATTTTGATCGTCCCAATTCAGGGCTCTGCTGCTTAGGTTTCTAGAAGTAGTATATTTTCCCTGCTGCCAAGCACCAGTAATCTCTTCCTGAAGGAATGTCCCGCGTGTTTACACTGCCTGGACTGCAATCCTCAGATAGCTGGCCCGAGAGCATAATGCCCCAGGCACCCGAGAAGCAGGGCTCTGAATGCGTGTCTGGTCTCCAGTGTGTTGCGCTCGTGACTAAGGTGCATGACTAACGCGCCGGAGCTCGGGCGCGTCAGGCTGGATGCACCCAACAGGTGAATAAGTTACCTTGTTTTTAGTGGTGTTGAGTAACGTCTCACTGACTGCTAAGGATGCCCATGGTAAACACGTGTGTTAATGAGGTTAATCACAGGCTCAGAGTAAGCAGATTGTCGGGGGGATTGGGAGGATTCCCTGCCAGCGCGGTAATTGGCTAGCTGGGAGGCTGGGGTCTCCTGCCTCCGAAAGGGAGGCAAGCTGTCTTGTGGAACGGACGGTGGCAGAGGCGGGAGGCTGTGTGATCCTTCCCTGTCGGGGCTGGCTTTCAGAGCTGCCGGGCGCCCTGGGCAGTGGCAGTGCTGTTCTTTACTCTGCCTTAGAAGAGGTGCAAATAGGACGCGTTGTACAGAAGGGGCTCTAGGCCTTTCCTCAAGCGCCTGCGCAGTCTGACCATAAGGGTTCGAAGGAGAATTTCTGGTTACACGAGGATGTTGGCCCAGCAAACCAACTGTTATTCCACGGGATTCTAGGGGCAGTAACTCTTGCCCTAGGGCCTGTGTTTTGCATCTGCCTCCCTACCTCGCTCTGCTATATTTTTCTCTGAAATACTCTCCCCTCCAGCTCAGCAATTTATGTTCAGTTTCTCTCTGGAGACTCAGATTTGAAATCTACTTTCTTTTGAAAATTATTCCTCGATTGACCTCCTCTTATTCTGATGGGTCCTTTCCTGGAGGCTCCTGGACTATAGATTTGTGCTACGTGCTATTTTTCAATTGATGGCTTACAAACCCCTTTCTCCATAGAGTACATTTGAGGCAGTTTTATCTTGCAGTTGTGTATGGGTTGTTTTGTATCTTACGAGTGTTACGGACTCCCACCTTCTCATTAAGATTCGAAATACTGCCAAACCGTAGATTAAATCTTCTAATTCACTGTACCTCAAAACCCATAACTGCAATGTACACCTATCAGTGAGCTGTGATGTAATTGTTGAGTAAATGAAATTTGACTGAATGGTAGTACCCTTCTTGCTATGAAATTGTAGTGATAAAATACTCAGGGGGTTCCATGCAAGGCAGCTCATTACATAATGAATATTTAAAGTGTAACCACCAGGAGGGCCCTGCCCCCAGCAGGGGATAGATCACTGATGACTGTGAGGTCTCTGTTTAGCTTTTAAGAAGAGACAGGGCAGGGAAAACTTGGGGAAAGCCAGAAGAGCAAATGGATGACACTCCCCTTTTTCTGACAGGTCAGCACAGTGTCTTTCCTTCATAATTTTCAGAGTAGTTGTACTTGGAAGACACAATTAGTCCTTACTTAAAAACAAGGATAGCTCATCACTCTGCTGCTAGAAATTCACTGTCCCCTCATCATTATTCCTGAAGACACCTGTTACTCCTGCAGACTTCCGAACAATTTGGTATGCACTATGGCAGTCCATTCAGGACACGATCTGTGTGCAAAATTATAAAACTGTATTTATAACAGATATCTGATTGTCAAACTTAGCTGTACTGAGATTTAACCTTACCTGAATCGCACATTCAAAAGCCCTCTTATAGATCTCCAGCCCTTTATTCTGTTCTGTGAAACCTCTGAGACCCTCTGATAATAACGGCTCACGAATAAGAAGGTGTTTTTATTAGCATAATCTATGCTCCTAGTTGTGAAAACCACCAAGATGAGGGGTCAGCCCTGGGATAGCATCAGAAGCTGTGGGAGCTCTATGGAGCCAAACAGCCTATGACTCAATCTTGGCTCTTGCCACTCACTAGGAATGTTCTCTCGGGTAAGTCGCTTAGTCTCTCCATGCCTCAGTTTACTCATCGGTAAAATGAGGATAATAACAAAACACCTATCTCATCGTGTTGTGGAGAGGATTAAATGTGCGAATCCAGGTACCTAACACAGTGTAAAGGCTCAGTAAAGGTTAGCTGTTAAGGTGCCCTTGTTATTACTATTATCTCATATTGTAAGAGAGACACCACTGAGAAGAAAAAATCTCCAAATTAGACCTGTGAGTCTGAAAAGATATCAACCCAGGTTAGGGGCAGAGGTGTGATAAATATTTGGCAAAACATCATTTACAAAGTTTTAGTGAGGAAAAGCGGCTTAAATTTTAACAGATACTGACAGCTAACTGGTTAGCCTCTGTGGTGTCAAAGGCATTAGCCCTTTCAGAGGTGTGCGAAACCACCTGGGGTTTCCAGTTACTCCGGCCAAACCTGGGAGCCATCCCTGGAGCCTGTTTCTTTTGTGCCCTGAATCCCATCCATTGGAAAACCCCGTTGGCTCTAAGTTCTGATAGATCCCAAATCTGACCACTTTTCCCACTAGTGCTCCTCACTGGTTCCCCTCCTTTCCCTGCCCTCCTCCCCCTGCTTTCTTCCTAGCAGCCAAGGAGATCCTATTACAGTGTAATTCAGGACACAGCACCCGGTACTCAGAACCCTCCCAGAACCTTCCTCCCTCAGAGTGAAAGCCTGAGTTCCCACCGCATCACCCATGACCTCTGACCTCCTCCCACCGCTCTGCTTACCAGCCCCATGGCCCCTGCTTCCCCTCAAACAGAACCAGGCACTGGCGGGTTCCTCTGCTGGGAAAGCTCTTCCCCTAACAGGCACACGATTAACTCCATTAACTCCTTCGAACGTCTACCCTCATCAACCTATTTAAAACTGAGACCAACCCTCCAACCCACAGAATGCTGGTTCTTCCTAACCACGCTTACCTTTCTGTTTTCATCGCTCATATCACCTTCTAGCATTTTATGTAATGTATTTATTATGGCAATTATCTATGATCTATTTCTTAGACCTGAATGAAAGCTCCATGAAGGCAAGGATCTTTGTTTTATTTACTAATTTATCCCAAGTGCTTGGACTGGTGCTTGGCACACACTTGGTGTTCAATGAATATTTGCAAGTGAATAATATTTAATTAATTTTTAATTGAAAGCTCTTCCCCAAGTTTAAAAATAGCTGCCTCTTTAAGATGCTTTGGTTAATGTACCTTTGAGTAAGTGAGCAACTATGAATGAAAAAAGGGACTTTCTTTCTTCTTTTAAAGCGAGTCTAAATTGGACGCTGACCTTTCCTGAAGCTCTCCTCTCCCACAGTCTTTCATCCTGTGGGAGCAGAGCAGCATGTATCTGATGCCCACATTCCTTTTCTTGAGTATGTCCCTCAAGGCCTTGGTTTGGGGGCTCTTCTAAGCTTAGGGGACCTGGGAACGCTCTGCGGCCTGGATCCTCCTTCAATCTCTCAGGCCGGGCCCCCAAATCTGTTAAGATTTAAAATGTTAACACCTCTGAGATGAATCACTTACATGCTTTTGTCAGCCCCTGCAGGGATTATCTGACATTGAGCTCAAGGCAGGATGGGCCCGCCTATCCCTGAGGGGAAGTAGGAGCCTGAGAAAGGATTCTATGGGAGATAAGAAAAAAAATGGCAATCACCAGCTGGTCCAATTTCACAAAGTTGCCTTGGGCTGGTTCTGGCCAGGCCACTCAAAGTCAATTCAGATGCTTCCAACAGGCTGCCCAATCAATTGTAACTATTTGGCAGGTGTTAATCCCAGTTCACCGGTGCCCAGGAACTGGTGTGCATATCCTAGAGTATGAAGCTATCCAAGAGCCCAGGACTCCGGGTGTGTCTGTTTAACACTCCAAATAATCTTTGCCTTCTAGCCTAGGAGCCCTGTGGTGAGCTGCCGTCCAGCGGCTGAGACAGAAAAGGTGGCAGAGTTCCGTTGTTGCCCTTGCCCTTGCCCTTGTAAGCGGGTCTGTCTCCTCTCACCTGGCACTTCTTCTCCCACAGGGCTCGCAGCGTCATGCTCTCCACACGGCAGGCAGAGCACAGCTTGTTTCCAAAGGCCTCCTGGATCCGGAGAACCAGGCGTTTGTGGTGGGCCTCATCCATGGCGTAGAAGTGGTTGAAATCCAGGAAGACAATCTCTTGGGGGTGTTGGGTGAGAAATGAGTCAATCTCCATCAGCCCGTCCCAGACCTTGATGCCAAAAAGTCCGTGAATGAAGTAGATCTCCTGGTCGGCATCCCCGGGTTTGGAAGACACGCGCAGGTCGAAGTAGCGGATGCCGGCTTCCAGTTGCTCCCTGAACGTCAGGTTCTGCGTCACAGACCACTTCTTCATGAGCTTCTTCACCAAGGAGATCCTGGCCAGGCGTTTGATGGCTGCGGTTTGGTCGGGCCCCACTGGGGACTTCTCATCTACCCAGTAGCTGAACGAATCATGGGAGCCTGTGCGAAGCAACAAACGTGGGGAAAGCAGGTGAGACCGGCGCTGGGAAGGATAAACCCGCCGATCAGGAAGCAGCAAACAATTAGCAAATACACACACAAAAATGTCAGCGAATTCTTGCAAAAGTTTTCAAGCTTGCTAGACTAGAAAGAAGTGCAAATAAAAGTAATGTGGTCTTATTAGCAGCTCGGTAAGCCTGGAATACAGCTCTAATTCTCACATATGACTAGTGTAAGGTGAATTAATAAATACCCTTTGGGAAAGCTCCTTAGAAACGGGTTTGGAAAGAGGAGCTTTAAAATATTCATACCACTTGATCTAGTGATTTCATTTCACGGAAAGCTCTTCTGAGGAAATACATTAATGGTGGGAAAACAAAGATGTTTGCTAAAGAATATTCATAAGAAGACAACCTGGAGGTTGCCTAAGTGTCTCTTACGGAAGAACACTTGATGCCACCATATCCGCTTTATTCATGCAGTCGAATTCTCAGACAGGCATTTACATTCTAGGAAAGGCAGAATTAAAAAAAAAACAAACTGCTATTTTGTATACTATTTTTTATGCTATCATACATACACTATTTTACTATCATGAAAACCTGAGTCAGTAGGAATGACTTCTTGACAAATCAGGTCATCATTTTTAAAAGCTCAACACAGCTTACACAGATGGCCTTCTTTCTGGACACATATCTTAATAAGCCAAATCTGCTCTTAAATGGGCAAATGTACGTTCCTTTCCTCCGCCTGCAAGAAAAGAGGGTAGTTATCCACCCAGACACTGAGATGATCTTATTGTTATAAAGTCTAAGAGACCACAAGAGACACAGTTCTAACTACGGTGAGAAAAACACTTCAGTAGTTACTCAAGGTGAAAATGATCTTTCACAAATATCTTTCACTGGTCATGGGTTTCTATGTAGTGCCACCCATTATCACGCGCTTAGCTCTGGAACTGACTCTGACACTGGGGATCCCGCATAAATCGAGGAGGAAACTGCCCTTCTTCTGACTCTACCAGCTTCGTTTTTAACCATTACTGCCCATTTTAGAATCAAAATTTTTAATTCATACTAGCTGGCTGTTATTATTCTTCTGACTCAATTTTAAATACATATTATTTCCATGTTCTTTAAAATAAATCAGTCTGGGATGGCTTTACTATCTTATCTTCTCAGAAATAAAGCAAAAGAAGAAAAAAAGAAGGCGACCAGCGATGTTTTATTTGTTTGTAGTCTCTAGAACATGGAGGATACTCAGTAACTATTAAGAAAAACCATATTTATTAATCCTTAGGCAAAGTCAATTCTACATGCGAGAAAATTGCTGCATATTTCAGGTAAAAAAAAAAATGCCATTACTAATAGAAATGTGGAGCAAATCCCCCTGGATTTTCCATATTGGTTGTCTCTGTTAATGAGACTCACAGGGTACTTGCCTAATGCTCTGCTTCCTTTGGCTTGTACAGAAACGGGAAATCTTTTTACCTCCTCATTGAGAGATTTATAATGGTGAACGACCAGTTCTCTCTTCTTTTTAAATTATACTAGCAGCCCAGCTGTTCAGGATGGGAGTGTGTGATAAAGTGCGCCCAGGGCCCACGTTGAATTTAATTCTTCCCTGGGTCTCAGGGAATAGCCATTATCCAGGCATGGAGAAGAGACAATCCCCTCTGGTATTTTCTTGTTGGTGCTAAGCCTGGTCTCATCTCCGGAGGGAGATGTGCTAACAACCTCCCAAGCGCTTCTCCATGCCCCAGGGCTGTGCGGCAATGTAACAGCGATGGGGCCCCAGGGACCATTTCTGGATACACAGGGCAGGTGTGGTGCCCAGCCATCCCCCAGAAGAGGGAGGGTGTGCCCATTCCCTAGGAACACTCAGTCTCTGCCTCTTTGTTTCCTTTTCCGCTTCCTCTTTTCCTTTCTGATGTGCTGTGCCCAGGGCCACCACCTTGACAGGAAAGGACAGGGCAATGGAGCCGATTGTTTGCAGAATGTTTTACAGCATTGTCCTACCCAGGCCTACCTACAGCAGTCAAGCCTACTTAACGTTACTCGTTAACCACTATCAGTATTTTTGCTTTCCTACTTTTTTTTTTTTCTGGGAAGCTTTTGCCTCCTACAGAGTGAGTGAAGTAACATTCAGGCCTGAGTGCCTGAGTGCATTTAACTTTCTTTTTCAAAACATGGGATAAAAATGCCCTCCCTTCTCCTGCACAAAGAATAATTACAAATTATGCAACCTGCTAATAGTACATATACAAAGAAAATCCTAATATTTTCCAGCCCAGTCATTGGCAAAACTTCTTCTCCCTAGAGTTGATGGAAGTTATTTTACTTATTTTTAAGACTGTCGATAGTGAGAGCTACCTCTCCCCTCTGCCCTGGGATGCATGCATTACAGTCACGCATTCCACCAGAGGAGGAGGGAAAACCTCTTAATTGGCCCTTGCCTTATTTCTGTGAGAATTTCTGCGTGGGAGTTAGGGAGGGCAGCTCCATGAGCTGCTCCCGCCGGTGAGTTTTATGATCAGGTTTGAAGAAGTTTGGGACCTCATCCTGCTGTGATTTCTGCCACGGAAATATTTTTGCTGCTTACTTATTTTTGCTTTACCACCTGGCAGTACCGATGTGTCTTCACTCACCCCTCTCTGTGGCTCCTTTATCTCTCAAGTAGATTTAACAGGTGCCCTTTAACTTAAGAACCAAACAAAACACTTTCCCTCACATGTCTTAGCCCTTCCAGCCACTGTGTCTTCGCTTTCTTCCTCACCCTCAAACTCTTCAAAGGTGGCGCAGCCCTGCTTTGTCTCTTATGCTCCATCCCTTCCTTCCCACCCGAGGCTGCCTCCTATCCTATGGCTCCTCTAGATCCTTATAACCTTTCAACTGACAACTCCTAATGGCTTAATTTTTCTTAGTTTCTCTGAGGGTTTGCTAAGTCAGCTTTTTTTCTGCAACCTTCCATCCCCTTGTGTTCTGTGATGCATACTTTTAGACATTCCTATCCTTCTGTTAACCTCTCCCCCTGTCTCCTTTGCTGGCTCCTCTTCTTCCTTGCCCCCAAATTTAAATATTTCCCAAGGATCTGTTCTCTATTTGCTTCCTTTTCCCCCTTCCAGAGATTTCATCCGCTCCCCAGGTTTACCATAGCACCTTCGTGTGGATGACACCAAAACCTTCACTTCAAGCTCAGACTCCTCTAAGTTCCAGATTTGTTTCCAACTTCCTGCTGAGGTCTCCCACCTTGATAACCTGCTCACACAGCAGATTACAGATTTTCAGAGTCCACCTACTCATGCTGTCCCTCTTACCCCACAAAGTGACTCTTCTGAATTTCTGCCAATAGTGCAGTGACTTGAACTTGAAACCTTGGATTCTACTTACATTCTGTCCCCCTTCCCCCCCACCCATACTCTTCATCCACCCAGTTACCAAAACTTTGCATTTGACTTTTGCAACATATATCAAACCTGTCTCTTCCTCTAACCTTCAGCTGACACCCCCCTTGTTCATATGTTCATTATTTGTCATATAATCAGGACCAAAAGGACCCTAATGTAATCCCTTTCACTCCAGCTTCTCTCCAATTTGTTCATATTCGAAAGCTAATCATTTCAAGATACAGTGCTAATTATGTCATTTTTTTCATCCTTCCTCCCTCCCAAATCAGGTTCCAATGCTGAGCACTGTTGTTCAGAACTCTTCAATATGGCCCCAGTGTGTTATTTTAGACTCATCTCTCACCAGGTCTCCACACAAAGCCTGGCATCTGTTGGTGTGCAGTACACATTGGTAGGCAGGCCTCCTCCGGGATTTTGCTCACTTCTTCAGCTGAACTTAACTTTCCATAAAATATTCTCTCACCCTAACCCTGTCTACAACTTCTCCCCAGCATTTACAACCCATATTGGGCAAGTTGCTTACCCTTCGTCTATTTCCTCATCTGTGAAATGGGCCTAATAGTGCCTCTTGTCACAAAAATAGTGTTCAAGGTGCTTAGAACAATGCTGACATGTAGGAAGTGCTGAACTATTGTTATTGTTATTATTAGCCATTCTCTGTGAGTTGGAAACTAGAAGGAGGAGGGGTCATTAATTGGGACTCCTGACCTTAAATATTTAGGGTCTGGAAGATTTTCTTTTCTTCACTTCAAGTACTGTCCCTCTTCATCTACTGGTTGACAGGGAGATGGTAGCTTAGCCTTTACTTTGTTGACAGTAGCTGCCACTCACTCTCTTGGCCACAGCCTAAGCTTTGTCATCACCCACTTGCAAAATCTTAAAATTCAATATCCTGATCACAACTTACTTTTCTTCTGCCTCATTGTAACTTGACTTCTATTTTCCCCCAGCCTGAGAGCCTAGCGTTGGCTCTACTTCTCCTTCAGCTATAACCAAGTTGTTAATTGCCACTTCCATCTGTGGAATTATTAATTAGAACTATTTGAAAGCTGTTAGGATCACGGTGGAGGAACATTTTCTGTCTATACAGGCAGATCATGTGCACAGTCCAAAATGGACATGGAAATATTAACATGATATTTTCTAACATACTTTTTGACTATCAACAAATGTTTTTCTTGTTTTCTCCAATATTTCTCATTTATAGAGTGGACTCAATAAGGTCTTAGGAACTAATAGACATCAAATATTAGATGACTGTTTTCGGACTCTGGGAAGGGAATTTTATTGTCATCTTAAGAACAGTCCATACAGAGCAGGAAGTATGGCCACACAAACTCTTCTTTCATGTTCTACACTCAGTGGATTGCTAGCATCCCTAATTTTAGCCCTACAAGGGTGAGGGCTTTTCCTCCAATTTTTGGAAGCTTATTTTTCTGCAATCCTTCCATTTTCACAATTACTACTCTTTCTCTTCCTCTTCCTTATATAGTCAACAGGCATTGCAAATGTTTCCTTTTCCTCTTTTTAGGTGTACAAACCCCTCGATAATATGTGAGAAAGCACTTTGTAATCTGAAGCAGTGATTCTTGATCTTGAGTGCACATCAGAATCCTCCTGGGGAGCTTTTAAAACCACCAGTGCCCAAGACCCCACCCAGACCTACAAGAGTCAGATTCTCTCTGGGGTGGGAGTTGAGACTGGAAGACTTGAAAAGCTCCCGGGTGATTCTCTTGGGCACCCAGGCTTGACACCTGGTGCCTAAATAGAAGATCATCCTTTCCCAACAAGCTCTCTGACTTCTGGCATCACCTACTCTGACAGATCTTCAAGTACGTTCAAATCTTCAAATAATAATCTGGTGGACTGCCTTTCCCATATCTTCACCATTCCTTTCATTCCAGGAATTCATGCTTCCTGCCTTTTGACCAACTGAATAACCATTGCTTGTTTGTGAAGAAGAAAAATATTGGGAGAACTTCCTTTCTTTATCATGCTTTCTAGTAAGTGATTAAATGAGGTTATTTAAGGTTAATAAGGGCCCTTGAGATATGGGCTGTGTTACAGAGGTCAGAATAAAGTCATTGTGGTAGCAAAATCATGAGGAAAGAGATTTGAACGGGAAGAGTCAGCAATATGTGTGCTCAATGTTTTTCCTCCTAGATAGCATTAGATTCCAAGATTATCGAAGAGACCAGGTACAAGAAAATGAGCTGGCCTTCTGAGGACCAGGGACAACCAGTTTGCTCTTTATCTGGAACAGCAGTTGCTACTTGATTCTTTCTGAGGTTTATTATTATGGGAACTAGGAGATCTCAAGTGAGCACACAGCAGTTTTTAGTTACAGTATTTTCATTACCTAGTTCTTGCAATTTGGAGGAGCCATTTTTTCCTGAACTCACTTAATTAAAAAGAATTTAAAGCAAGCTTCTTGGGAACATGGTCTCTAAATAAAACAGGAAATTCAAAACACACACCCTGGAATGAACATTTCATTAAAACACAGTGGCATTTCAGATTACATGGTGACACACTTTCAGCCACAGAGGGAAGACAGGAGTTACGTGAATAATAGGAGAAAGAGAAACTTCTTATCACATCTCTGGGTGGCATTGGGGAAGTGGGGATGGTGAC